GAATAAACTTATTTATTTTGTTTCAATCGAACTAATAACATGGGCTTCCAAAGGAAGACCATGTCTTAAATTACCGACGTTTTTCGTCTGTGGTATGCTTCAAATTATATCCGGGACCTTTTCATTTTTGACATCTATTGTCTTACTGTCATTCATGTTTCTAAGCAACGATTCAAACGTCCTCGTGCTTCTTCGGACCTTCGTAAAGCCGGCAAAGTTTGAGATCGAACATGTAGAACGCTAGATTCTTTTACAAATCCACACACCATTCGCGGCATAGCCACACTAAAAAAAAATCGAGCGTTTCTCAAAAGGGCATTTGGAGAGATACGGCGAATTTATCATGAACAAACCGATCGTGAATTAATATCTATCAACATTAGCTTATCAAAAGCTAACTTATACTAGTACAGGCTCTACAATCACCAAGGACTTATCTAAGACATATCAACAGATTTATACTGAGGAAAAACAGAGGATTGGAAGTATTTTAAGCGAAGAACATGAAAGACTATCGATCTGTGTTTAATACAGCCAAGGATGCGACTCTTAAAGTAACGGCTCGTCAGACATAAAATTACTTCTTTCACAATATTATTAAATTCTACTAAGTACATTGCTTGTTTGATTATTTTTCATTAAAGGAAATCTTTTTTTGCTGTTGTCTTAGTAATATTAATTTCATTAGGGTTCAATATCATTTACTGATTGGGATAAACCACAGGAAGCCCATGTAAACGATCGCTGATCGTCTAGTTTACTTTGGTAACTAGAATGTTACGACGGGGAATGTTCTTTGGTAAGGTGGACGAGAACGAAAAGTTAGATTGCGGTCTGATTTCCTTCAAAATTAAAGTTAACTTTCAAAATCGTCATTCTAAGCCTATTGCTAGGTAAGTGCCAAAGTGTTTCAACAGTCATTCTGGGTCGTGGGTTCGAATCTCAGAGATGTCGGAAATTAATTTTTCCGAATATATTTCCAAGCGTCTTTCTCCCGGAATAACCTCCTTCCTAGCACTATTCCTTTATTTCTATATCATTCTTAACATAACTTACTCTTTGACAAGCTTATACATAACCTCGTTATCAGGCTGCACTTCAAGATTCTCGTTTCTAAATTAATATATGGACACTCTTAGGGTGACGGAGTTATGGTTCTTTGCTGGTGTGCAGTTGGTCCATTGTTCAGTTACAGTAGCATTTGTTAGACTTCCACTTGTAAATGGATTTCTTTGCGGTTGCTTTGATAACATGCATCCACTTACTGATATCAAAGCGAGAGAGACCTGGGACAGAATTTTCTAAAATTAATCAAATAAAGAAATGAGAATCAGCACAAGAGTCAATATCGACGTTTGGCCGAGGCCAAAATAAAACAATAAAAATTTATTACAATTAAATAATAAAATAGATTAATAATTGAAATTATTGTGCACCAGATCCAGAATATCACGTGATAAAGCAGCCCCACTTCTGAGAATTCTAAAAATAGACCACTGCCTCTGGATTATACAAACCCTGTGGTGGTTCAAGCTCTCTTTGTTTGCTTTTGTTGATGATGATGTTTATTTTTCATTTTAAGACTTATTTGAGATACTTTTTTTCAGATATTTGAGGTAAATAAGAAATTGTGATTGTTTTGTGATTTGTGATTGTTTTTGAATCTAATTTGCTTATGAGGCAGAAGGAGTGGCTTAACTGCCGCTCTAAGTTCCTTGCTCAGTCATCCAAGCCTATTGAAGCATGTTGCGGAGATGAAATCTCTGTTGTGTCAACTTGGTCATCTCTCTTCGAACCCAATAAGGAGTGGAGTACTTTAAATCAAGACCGATGCTGATCGTGCTATAGCACCTGCTGTTGTCGAACGGATTTTGCAAGGACGTTCGTGGGCAATGGACTCCGTGATGTCACTTCGATGAATTTTTTTGGGGAAATACGCGATGACATAAACTTGCAAAAAAGCGATAAAAAAGGTCACCGGCTTCATTTTAGARATAAT